GGGACGAGAAAAAAAAAAAAAGATGGAAACGAGAAGTGGCAAATCAAACTACGGCTAAGCAGATTTGATGGCAGCATTACAAGAACAGCAAAAGAAACAAGAAGAACGAGAAAATAAACAAGAAAAGAGACTACAACAGTGGTTGGAGGAGAAAGAAAAGAAACAAGAGAGACAACATCAGTGGCAAGAAAACCTGCAACAGTGGCAGCTGGAATAGCAAAAATAAACAAGAGATATTACAGCTATTGTTGGAGGAAAAAGAAAATAGACAATAACAACGAGAAAAGAAACAAGAGGAGAGATTACAGCAGTTGTTGGAGGAAAAAGAAAGGAAACAAGAAGAACGAGAAAATACACAAGAAGAGAGACTATAACATTGGTTGGAGGAGAGAGAGAAAATAAACAAGAAGAGAGACTACAGCAATGGTTGGAGAATAAAGAAAATAAACATGAAGAGAGACTACAACAGTGGCAAGAATACCACCACCAGTGGCAATTGGAACAAGAAAAGAAACAGGAAGAAAGTCTCCAACAGTTGCGAGAAAGCCAGCATACACACATAGAAAAGATTAGTAAATTTCAAAGTGAATTAAATATATTAAAGGACAATTTACTGTCTTTTACACAAGGAGGATATATTAACCATGGACCTAATCAGCCTCAGTCAACAGGAAGCCCCTTCGAGACCTTGCAGCTAAACCCTAATGCAGACATCTTCAGTCCTGCTAGAAGTCACATTCCAGACATGAGAGTCAGCAATAGGGGTGATCTAGTACGAATGAAGCCACAGGAATTCGATGGGGAGGCACCATGGGAAGCATATAGAGCACAATTTGAGCTCCTGGCTGAGATGAATGGATGGACAGAGGAGTAGAAAGCAGTATATCTGGCAACGAACCTGGAGGGACAACCATTGGAAATACTTGGACAGTTGTCAGCAGACGACAGGCACAACTATAGAGCACTGGTAACTGCTCTAGAAATCAGGTATGGAACTCAAATTCAGTCCGAAGCCTACAGGGCTAGGTTTAGGGGAGAGCCTGCAAAAGCTGGCACAGGATTTGGAAAGTATGGCACACAAGGCCTACCCAACTGCACCACCTGATCTCCCCAAGTTGTTGCTGAGGAATCAGTTTGTAGATGCCTTGGACAGTCCACAACTGAAGATACAAGTAAAGCAAGCTCACCCCTTTATTATGCAGGATGCAATGGCTAGAGCTCTTGAATTCAAATCCTATGTTAAGTCCAGCACAGAAGTACCAAGGTTGGTACAGTCATCAGGATTCGAGGCCAGATTTCAGAGAGGTTTGAGGGACTTTGCTGGCACTGTAACAAACCTGGGCACAAGAGAGCCCAATGCCGGCAACTTCAACACAGGGAAGATGCCACGGCAGGAAAGGCTGCTACCCAGAAAGGTTGTTGGAACTGTGGAGAGCAAGGACATATGAGGAGCCAGTGTAAGAAGAATACTACCAATAAGTCAGCCTTGGGGGAACCAGTTGTATTTCGTGTTGAGGGATGGCCACCAAACCCCATTGTGAAAGTCACAATAGCTAAGTGTGAAATGTCAAGCACACAGTGTCTGCGTGACAGGAAAACTGAATGGCCAAAAGTGCAAGTTTGTCATAGATTATGCATCTCAGCAAACCCTTGTGAGTATCAAGGTGCTAGATCACAAAGGAGTACCAGAAGCCATACAGAAGCTCTGTGGTGTGACAGGACATTATACAAGGTTGTGAGGACCAGTGTTGGTAAGTATTAAGTACATGGGCATAAAGGGCAGACACAAAGGATACTTGGCTGACACTGAAGACCAATGCATATTTGGGTTGGACTACTTACTACCGAGGAAGTGTGTAGTTAACTTTGATAAAATGTCATTTGAGAACAACAAAGGCCAAATTCCGGTAAGTGTTGCTGCATCTGTTAAATCACACGGAAATGCCGACGGAATGAGCCAAAGACTCTGCAAAAATGACTGCAGACATTAATGCAAAAGAGAGGTTGAACTAACCAGGTGTCATCAGGCTGAAGTCAAAGTGTCTGAAGGAGTTGAGGATGGTGAAGTTGAACCAGGTATAGATATTAAAGTAGAACAGGAGAAAGATCAAGATTTGAAGCCAATAATTGATTTT